GGAACTGGAGGAAGATGTCCGTGACTATCTGGAAGTGTTTTGCCTAATTATGACTACTGCTGGCTACCACAAGCAATCCCGTCCAGATGAGTTTAATGAAAGCTTTTCTTGGAGTGAAATGGGTGACATAGGCCTGAATTGTTTTGTGTGTTCTAGTATCTAATTTATTTATTGGAAACACATTTGACTGTTTCAACTTTGAGGCTCAGCAGCGGGAGTCGGATGAATCGCTCCAAGCTCTACCGACGCAATGTGAGCGTTGGCTGCAAGTGCAAGCCCTAGAGACAAATGCAGGTGCAAGTCCAGTCAAACAAATTTTCTTGACAACTGAAGCTGCCTTTTGTTTCTGAATCACCAAGTCCACGGTCAGCCTTTGCCTGCGAGCTCTGCACCAACTAGCCGCTGTTCCCAACGAGGCTGGACAGAGTGAGAAAGAAAAACAAGAAAAGCACAGAAAAGACCAGACAAGACAAGAACAGAAAAGACAAGACAAGAAAAGAACGAAGGAAAGAAAAACATCATATCAAGAGACCAAGGGGTAGAAAGAAGAAATATGATAAATCCATGCGCAACCTCATGGTAGAGGCCAGGACAAAAAACTACTGTAGACTATGATAAAGTCATGTTAGACGCCGGGACGAAACACTGCAAAGTCATGCTAGATGCACGGAGGAAAAACTATGATAGATTACAGGTACCGGTAGTAGCGGTACCGGTAGCGCAGGTACCGGTAGAAGAGCTGCTGGTGGCACAGGTACCAGTAGTACAGGTACAGGTACCTGTAGAAGAGGTATATACCGGTAGCACCGGCACCGGTAGTAGCGGTACCGGTAGCACAAGTACCGGTAGAAGAGGTACGGGTAGAGGAGGTACCTACGCAGCCGTACTCATGCCTGGCCCTTTTGCCAATGAGGATGGCGGGATCTTTGGAGGCTGAGGCCTGTTCAGTCTTGGCCTTCGCACGTTTTCCCATCTTGTCATTGATGGTCGACTTAGGCCAACGGCTAAGGAGCGATGAAGGTAGCGCAAGCATCACTCCAATCATGGGCCTGTGATAGCCAACCCTAGCCACCAGCAGTCGATAACAGAAGACACCCTTATCAATCTCTTCCTCCATCCCCTGCAGCAGGGGTTAGCCGTAGGTGATATTCCGAAGTGAACGTGGAAAAGAATGTCTCTTCTGCTGGTACTCGGCACCTGAACATCTGGAGAAGGGTCTGGATGCTTGGTGCTCTGGGCTTGTCTGTTCATCTGATGCCTGAAAGGTTTTGGACTTACCCTTGCCCCTTGCCCTTCACACCGTCCTTTCCAATACTCGAACTTCTGTTTGGACTTCTCTTTGACTCTTTGCCTCCTTTCTTCCCTTTTGATTTACTTTTGCCCTTACCCCAGTAAGACTGGTCTGGTTCTTGTTCTTCTCTTGCCACCGCTCGTTCTTGGTCTGACCCTCCCACGTTTCGAATAGCCGTTCGTGGTTTCTGAGTCGTTCGTGTGAATCCGGATTGCCTTACTCACTCTGGAACGCCTAACGCACCACTTAAGTCTTTCACGTTGGTAATGAAGAAACAGAGGGGTCTTTCAAGTTCCGGGGGTCCGGTTCCGTAGGTTCCGGAGCAAGTTCCGGAGCAGGTTCCGGAGGAGGTTCTAGAGGACGCGGGCAGGTTGTTATGATGTGAATTGTTGCGCGTATGTTTGAATTCTGGAAGGCGTGTAATGCTGAGATGTCATCATGCTGCATGTTGTCAAGCTTTGTATGCCGCCAAGCTTCCATGCCGCGTATGGTGTGCGCTGTCATGTCGACCTTCCAACATGTTGTCATTCTGTCATGCTAACTTGCAACGATGTTATCATGCTGATGTGCTGCTTTTGCTGACATGCTAGCGTGTTACATGTTGTCATTCTGACACGCTGAGGTGTTGTCGCGCCAATGCACTGACATGGTGTTGTGTTGGTGTGTTGTATGTGCGGCTGTTGCGTGGAGGTGTGAACACACAGCAACATGTTGGGCCAACGGGGGGGGGGTTAGCCCCGCCGGCAACATATATCCGATCCGTTGACTGGTCTTTTGGGTTGGGTGGGGGGTGGGGGGTGGGGTCAGTTTCGTCCGTGTTACTACTCGCGTACATCGACTTTGACGTTGACTTGTCGACTCGGTGACCTTTCGTTCGCTCGGTGACCATTCGTAGAATGGGTATTCTTGGCCGTTGCGATGCAAAGCTGCAACGACAGCACGTTGAAGGCCTCGCAGCGTTGTGGTTCAGCCAACATCCAGGGTTGGACTCAATGCTCGAGGCTGTCAGAATACATCATAAAGAAGCTGTGCAAGACACTTGTCCGCGAGCTCAAATGTACAGTGAGCTAAATGGCTCAATTGGGACCAAGACTGATGTCTGGCGGCTGCAAAATGATGGCAAGCTGTACACGGAGCAGGCGGGTGGGTTGGGTACGTCAAAACGTATTCAACTTATCGTCTTGCAACTCATGAGTTGCAAGACGATAAGTTGAGCGTCCGAAAAGCCACGAAGCCCTGTAAAGCACAAGGTTTTTTCACCCTCGTATGCTGCGTTCGGGGCTACCCCCCCCCCGTTTACCCAGCATGTTGTCAAGCTGCATGCGAGCAGGTTCCCTGCTTGTTGCGGTTTTGTGATGCTTGCGCAAATGTAAGCACATGTGCTATGCTGATGGTGATGATGGCGGATCGAAAAAGCTCACATGTTTCAAAGGAACAATTGCCCAACAAAAACACAAGACTTGATGGTGAACTTGCGATGTTGCTATCTATAGTTGGCGATTATTTTCGGCTTTATTTTGGCTTATGCAATTTGCAATGTGCAAAGAACACTTTTTGTTGATGTTCTGTGGCTCAGGTGGCGTCAGAGCTGCAGGTGCAGGACTGGCAGCCCAGAAGGAATTCGTTTAAAGAAACCTCTCCACAAAGAGAAAGACTTTAGTGTGAAACCATGTGCGTTCATGTGCTGGGTATTTCGGAATGCAACTCTGAAAGCTTGAACATAACATTTCCAACACTTTCAGCTGTGGACAAATTGTACTATCAAATACCCAGCAGCCTTTGAGATGATTAGGCCCGCTTTCTCCTGGCTCGTGCTTACAGCAAGTCTGAACCTTGTTCTAGGGTTTGGGTGGGTGTCGAACTTATCTATCCTGCTTTCGCATGTTTGGTTTCTTGCAGCTTCCTTTGGCCATCTTTGGACCGTTTCAAAGTTATAATCCTGGATGACCACCTCAGGCTGGGTCATTTATATGCAAGTACAGGACGCTTCACAAAGGCGCATGTCAAACTGGCAAGATAAATAGCCATGGATATCCATGCCCAGGCTATGACACATGCAAAGCAGGGCATCGAACTCTTCAATGCCACGAAGGACCCAACGATTGAAGTCTTGCAGCAGTTTTGTAAGATCTTGCAGGTCCATGGATGGAGCGTTGGTGTACTAATGATACTAATGTAAGTTGGCATTGACTTAGTGACCAAGGCAAGATCCAAACTTTCTGGTTTGCAACAGGATGACATTTGCCCAGAAACTTCAGTATCTAGCCTTTCTTCCAACAGAGGATGGAGCCATTGCTTTTTCTTGTCGTGAGGACAAGCTGGAAGCAGCACGGCTACAGTTGTGGTTGCTTGGACGGAGCTGGGAACGGCCGTGAGATTTTGTATGTTTTTTACATGCTAAGGCTTTGCAGACTACAGCTGCGAATGGCCCTGCCACAGGTCTGGTTTGAGCAACAAGATTCGCCCTTGTCCAGCCTTGGAAAGAGGCCCCTTCTAGCAGCCTTGCAGAATGCTTCGGATTGATCAAGGCTCATTTCGTCGCGATGTAAAGTGCACAGCTTACCATTGCTGTGTTTGATTCCTGCAAGGATGGCGATCTCCTTTGTGGGATCCAAGCAGCATCAACCGCAGAAAGCACGGCCCTGCGACAGGTGCAAAGCAACGATACAAAAAGTGCAAAGGGAAAGGAGTAAAAGCAAGCTAAAGTGAAAGAGGTTTGCCCAACAGCTCCAGTGACTGTACAGGTCGTCCAGCAGCTCCAGAAGTCCCTCAACGCGCTTGACCCAGAGGCCCACACTAGTACAAAGGCCACAGAAAGGCTTCCGAACTCAAACCAGAAGAGACCACGCAGGTCGCTGAGGAACGTCGGGTACAGGCAGATGGTCAGGCAGACCATGAAGTACGACAAAGCAACATCTAAACTGGACAGTGTGACAATATGCTTCAAAGCATGTGAGGCTTTGCTGGGAAGAGTTATCCTACGCGAGGAACTGAGGATGGCCGATAGGCAAACGCTGGATTTCTGTACAACAGCACTGCACACCGCTCTTGCGATTCAATGGAGCTTTGGTTTTGATGCTTACTGTGGAAGACGTGACAGTTATGTTGAATGGAAATCCGAGACGTAATCTATTTGTGAAGACACTTGAACTAAAGGCCAGGCCCTGGTAAAGCTGGCGAAGGCACCAGCACCTTTCAACACCTGTAGCCGACTTTGCGAGGAGGAGTGTCGAGCGGATGGTTGACACTTTTTGTGGTTTCAAGATGGATGTGCATAGATACAGGAAGGGTCATTGTTCAGTGCCTTGGAGCTTCTGCAGGCAAGTCTTCCCTTGAGAGTTCATGTTCTGCGTCGTTTGCGTTTTCATTTGAGTTATGAGAAAGTTGCATGGAGTGACTGGGTGCAGCTGTGCAGATACCTGAAGCAAGCAATTCTTTCGAAGGCTTTGGACTTGCCTTGGAATTAGCCATTAGCGTCCGCTTTTGACACAAAGCCGGTGAAAGAAAGTCAGGTTCAGATGTGTCCAAAGAGGCTGTCGAACATTTGCATCAAGCGTGCCACTCATGAAACAGAAACCAACAATACCAATCTATCAGTAAACGAACGAGTGAAAGAAACATTGCCTGTTGTCGTGCCATCAACAAACACTTATATATTTGTTTTTGCTTCACGCTCGTAAGGCAATCTCTTGTTTTCGTTCCGCTGAATCTTCTCTTTGTGGTCTGGTCCACACTTGCAGGGCCCCAAATATGATCAGTCAGCATGAGTGTTTGTCAGTTTGTTTTTGAGACCTCCAATTCTTTCTGTGTCGCCGCGAGACATCAAGCTATGTTTTCCAGTCACGGGAGTCCAGCTCAACAAGAAAAACAGCTGCAAGGGGTTTCCACAAGATCCCCACATTTTTGGACCAGCACTTCTGGACCTGCAGGGTCAGGCTGCCAGAAATGTGAGCAAAATCCAAGCCATGGTCATAGTGAATGTCTTCGGAAATCACAGGGCGTTCGCTGCATTGACGGATTCGGGTTCTGTTGTTTGTTGGGGTGACTCAGAGGCTGGTGGAGACTGCTACCTGGAAATGCGTTGATCAAGTTTTCTTGTGAAGACATATTTTGAGTCCTATATTTGTCTGGTTTTGAAGCTTCGTGTCGTTTCAGAAGCGGTGTACAGAAGATACAAGTATGTTTCAGAAACTAGAGTGTTGAGGACTGCAAGTGTCCACCATTGACCCTTCAAGATTGGATCAACTTTGCAGCAAACTCAGCACCATCGTCTTCTGAGCAGTCCTTTAAAAGGGGTTTGTTGGAGTGGGTGAGCGCTGATTATGTTCCATGTGAGATCACGATACCTTTCGGTACAGAGCAACGTGAAGAGGGATGACAACATGAGGTGTCACAGCCATTGTGAACACACGAATGACTATGACCCGTGACCCGTGTGCCTGTTTACCTCCTGGCAGATTTGTGTAGCTTTCAAGCTTGTAGTTTGTCAAACATAAGCACATGACAGGCAGTTTCTCGAAAAAAGACATATTCTTGAGACAGAAGTTCTAAACCGTACCAAACATATATGTCTTATAGTGACTTAATAGTTCTCCAATTCCCAAGTATAGTGTCTCAAGCATCTGACTCGACACATTCAAGGTCAAAAGGTGCGAGAGCAGGTCTCCTCCGGAGTGGCAGACATTTGTGCTTCAGCAGCTGCTTTTCCGGCTTTGAAGAAGGATGGCTCTGTCGTCACTTGGGGCCATCGAGACTATGGCGGAGACAGCCGGACAGTGCGAGACGAGCTCAAGAGCGGGGCATTTCTTCTTGAGACATTCTCTTTTTCAAGTGTTTTTCCTTTGCAAAAGCTTCAGGAGGCATGGCTCATGACTCCAACTCGAAAAGTACCTTCCAAGAGGCTTTGGGCGCCAACTTTGCATCCCCAGAGAATGACGGTATGACTTTTGTGCTGTTTGAAGGAAGAGAATAGATTTTTGTTTTGGTCAGATTGGCAAGCAATTGGCTGTCGCTAGGTATCTCACATCACAGCGACAGAGTCAGCATTTGCTGCAATGACGGATGGTGGTAAGGTAATTTCCTGGGGAAATCAAGCACATGGCGGAGAAACTAGACTGCACTTGACGGACTTGGCATCCTTTTTCCTGGTCACCTGGTCTTTAGTCACAATCTAAAGTTTTGTTCTGGCCCAAACAAGTGGTGGCTGAAATGAGGATTCAGACTCGGTGAAGCACAGGCTGCAGAAAGAGGTGCGTCATATTTTCTCGAACAAAGTGGCTTTTGCTGCATTGAAGTCTGATGGCAGCCTTATTTCATGGGGTGATGCAGAGTGTGGCGGGGACTGCAGCAAAATTCTTCAAGAGTTGAATGAGATAGGTTCTCCACCAATCACAACAATCTATTCAAGCCCATATGCGTTTGCAGCACGTCGTGCCGATGGATCGGTGATAACCTGGGGTGATCCAGATTCTGGGGGCGACAGTAGTGATGTGGTGGAATCTCTTGAGGGTGGTGTGCAATGGATTGGTTGCACTGACGATGCGCTTGCTGCGATCAAGTCCTCTGGAGAGGTAGTCACCTGGGGTGACCCTGCATCTGGTGGTGACACTTCTTCGGTACGAAGGCACCTGAGAGCCATTGCAAGCGTCGTTGCTACCCGCGGCGCTTTTGCTGCCCTGAGAGAAGATGGATCTGTAGTTTGTTGGGGTGATTCATCGTGTGGTGGGAATGCATTTGCTGTTGCACAGCAGCTTAATGGAGTGAGAAAGCTGCAAGCTACGCGGGGAGCATTTGCTGCATTGAAAGAAGATGGATCGATTGTTGTTTGGGGCGATGAGAAGCATGGAGCAAACGCAAAGTCCGTTTCCAACATCATATCTTCTGGGGTCAAGGACATTTTTGCAAACAATGCCCCTTGTCCTTCCAGGAAATTGGAACACAGTGACCCATAGTCTCGATCAATCAAATTGTCTCAAGAGTGCCTCACGAGGCCATTGCAGGACCCGAACTGAGTTTTGTTTCTTCTTGGTCTTGGTGCACTGAAAGAAGTTGTTTCCTTTAATATGCTTTTCTTTTTGGAGGGTTGATCCAGTGTTTGATGCAGTGTTTTCAGTTGCCAAGTTCCTACTTGTTATTCTTTTGCTTAGTTTGGGGAACTTTTCCTTTTCGGATGTGTGAGACTCAATAGCTTTGGTGGGAAGTCCAAAGCATAGGCGTGTTTCAACATACATTTCGTATCCTTACCAGGTACCAGGCTGCCAACCCTGACGCAAAAACAGCTTTTACACTCCTCTTCGTTGGCGGGAAACGATTCAGGGGAGCACTGTAGAAGTTTGGGCACCCAATGAAGGTGCAGGTGAGAATGATTGACCCGTTGTTTAAACTAGGAACAATGTTCGCTACTAGGGGCTCCTGGCATCGCTACTAGCAGCAAGGACGCTACTAGGGGCTCCTGGCCGTACTACTAGGAGCAAGGAGCTACTAGGAACAAGAAGCTACTAGGTTACTAGGGTGATCCAGTTTGTTTGGATAGACTTGGCCTCATTTTTTCTCCCGTCTGAGGTATCTTTCACGGCTTTGAAAGAGAATGGTGGCCTTGTGACTTGGGGAGATGAAAGCCAGGCAGCTTCCTCAGTGCTCCCTCGCATTCCACACGTGCAGAGACCCTTTCCTGCAACATCCCCCAGTGCATCCTAAGTAGAAAATGACTCTGGTCGTTTGGTACCATCAGTCCGAATGATATATATATATACATAGTTACATAATCTCTTTGCTGCTTCAATCATTTGCTCACTCACTTTTTCGCCCTTGTGCTTTATTTAATCTCAATCATTTTGTCCTCTCCTTTTGCAATCTTTTGCAAGCATCTTCCATTCGGTCCCGAGCGGCTGCGAGCGGTGTTGGGTGGACCAGTTTCAGCTCCAAGGCCCGCGCCGCAGGGTCAGTATGCTGGGCCATATATAGATGCTGATGCTGATGGTTTTGAGTCACGTGTCATGTTTTCATAGCTTTTGCAGCTTTGAGTCACATTCCTTTTCAGCCGGGGCTGTGGTGGTGATGGTGGGATCGGATGTCGACAGATTACCGATGACAAGAGCATCGCGTGTTTATACTAATCTTGTAAAGATATGTAAAGATATGAACATGGAGTATGGACTGAGACCTTTACACCTGTGGGTTGCTGATGCTGATGTCTCCGGACCTTGACTTTGGGTATTTGGGGTCATCACGCACGAGTCTCAGATTTATGTCCAGCTGAGACGTGTTGTATGGTGCACCAACCAATCCTTCCATTGTTCACCAGCACAGACTGGCCTTTTTTTTGGTATGGTCAATTTCAAGCCAACCTTCTTCTACAAATCACATGGTTCTGAGTATACGCTTCAAAGGTTTAGAGACCTTGTGCCTTGCCATAAGATTCTCTAATGTCAAATGTTGATCAAGTGTTTTAGCCAAGGGCAGACAAAGAGGTGCAAGGGATTATGCCATTAATGCCTGCAACCTAATGGCGCTCAGGAATAGTTGCGACAAAGTTTGCATTTGCTCTTCTGAAATGTGATGGGTCCGTTCTTACTTGGGGAGATCCTGCGGCTGGAGGTGACAGCACTGCTGTAAAGCACCAGCTGTCTTGCGCTTGATGATTTCAACTTCAAGTTCTTCTTCAGCAGGCAACCGCGCTTTCATGCAGCCTGTGAAGAGCGACCCATATCAAACAGCCTTTCATGCCGCTGATATGTCAGAGCCAACCGAGCCATTGGCTCGTTTGTTAACATTTGCTGACAGACAACCTGTCAGATTTGTGAATGCTGCAGCATTGACAGTCGTGAGTGGCCCGACATTTGACATAAACGCGACAGCATTGCAATCTGCTGGGTCCGTTTTCCATCCTCAGCTTTCTTTGTAAAGGCCGCATCATCTCTTGGTCATTGGTGATAGCTTTCTTTGTGTACAGTGTACTTGCTATACTGCTCTTGTGACGACAGAACAGCTGGCTTGTTCACAGTGATTCAGTATTCAGTGTCAAGGCTTGGCATATGTCCGTGGCCAAGATGAACGGTTGTAGAAGTGTGAAAGTAGACAGCTGAACCAATACTTTGCTTGATTGAGGCATACTTCTGTGGTCGGGCAGACCCACGAATACATCGGCTTTCCCTGACACATTGCCAACATGCGCTGGAGAGATAACCAACCAATGAAACTGCTTTTGAATTATATATACTATATACATAACGAGAAAGCTCTCCAAGGCAATGAATGGGGTTTGCTTAGTTTGCCTGGCTTTATGTTCATGGGCCAGTGGAATTCCAGGAGCAGATGCAAGACCAAGAAAGTCAGGTGCACCATCCTTCAATAGCGCACACATTGAGATGAACAACCTCGAATTTGTGCAGGTTTTCATCCTTTCTCTTTCTTTCTCTGCTTGACGTTTTCAACCTGTTTTTATTTGATCTTCCAGATTGGGCGATTGCATGCAGCATCTCCCGGTTGGTAGGTAGTGGTTGCAACCCGCCTTCTTGAAGCGAAGGCAAATGCATGGTTTAAAGAAAGTGTCTTTAGTTTTTGCATTTCAACATGCATTCCTAGCAACAAGTTGATCCGGTTTGCAGGTGACGCGGCACACACTGCGCTCTGGACAGAAAGGTCCTGCAATGTGTTTATGCGCACTAGTTTTCATGGCTTGGTGTGTTGAGTTGAGGACAGTCGCAGTCCTGGGCGGGTGATGCCAAAGCTGCATCAATTCTGTGCAATGTCGCACTTATGAGGCAGAGTCTACGTGCTTTGCCATTGCATCACCTGATCGATTCTTTTTGTTCATTCAATTCCAAATCCCTCTTCCAGGTTCAAGTCGATTCCAGCGCTACAGCCGATGACAAGGGGAGGCTCCAGACATTTTGTCTACTCTTTTTTCATGACAAGTGACAACTCTGTTTGTACACACGGTAATCTTTCCTTAGATGTGCAGAGTTGCCACTGTAGAGTTGCTGTCAGTCCTCCCAGCACCCACCGAGGTGACCACTTGGAACCAAAGTGGCAAAACAACACGACAACAAATAGCAGCTCCCAGTCAGCCAACGTCCCTGCTGAGTATCACATACGTATGGTATCTCCACACCAAATATTGCATGCCCTTGCCTAAGTTTTTTGATTATGTTTTGCAAACATCCTTTCATTGTCCTCTTGGCCGTGTCCAACATTTCCATCCTTTCGTTCTCTTTTGTTTTTCTTTGTGGGTGGATTTTGTGTTTTGGTTTGCTTTGCGGGAGGACTGCTTGATCCTTTTGTCGCCCTGCTGCCGTTGTCCTTTCCCTAGTGTTTTTCCCTTTCATTGCTCACTGGGAATATACAAATATACAAATATACAATGGAAATGGTGCTGTGCCCCTGGGAACGTTTGATTGCAAGGTAATTGCTTGATTGGTTGTCACCAAAAAGTCGTTTCTTCTGAAATCCCTATGACTTGTCTTTGGCTGGTCGGCCCCTCGCACCTCTAAACTATGTTTGGTGAACAGGTTCATTCCTGCCCTCAGAAGGCCCGGGTCGGACAAGGACCTGGCCCAGATTGCCCAGCTGTATGAATTGCAGAAAGATTGTCATCGGCTCGGTGATCTTAACCTGGGTTTTGCTTTGGCCTCCGAAGTTTCCCTATCGAATAATTTCTTTTGATACTATTCTGAATTTTTGACCCCTCACCCAAGGGTGAACATGTTTGTGTGCACTGTATTGTTTTCCTTGGATTGAGTCACCTGCAGTACACATTCCTATATAAATTGTATGCTTACTACAGTTCACCAACTGTAGGAATGACTCTCGGAAATTGTAAATGTAAATGGTGTATTTGACAGTTAAATTGTATGGTTAACGTGTAAATTGCAGTATTTTGTTAAATTGGTTAAACTGTGGGTGCTGCGGAGACAAGACGAAGACCGCCGCAAGACGGAGCTGAAACTGGTTGCCCTGTTGGACTCGGTGAATGCACCCCTGTTTGCTCCTCAGGCGAGCCGTTTTGGCGCCTACTTAATCAAGCAAGGGAGAAGTAAGCTACTAGGAGAAGTTCGCTCCTAGTAATCGGACGCAGGACAGCTCACGCTTCTTCAAAGAAGCTCCCCCTGCTGCCCAAAGGTGGTGGGGAGCTGCCTTGAAGAAGCGCTCGCACTAATGATTTGGTTCCTAGATTTTACCACACTGAGGAAAGGATGCGCACTGCTTTGCTCACTTCGGGCGATGAATCAGGAGAGAATTGACGTCTTGGCAAAAAACCCTTCAAACACAAGACCCCATCAAGAAATGGTAGACTTTGGTTTGGTTGCAGCTGTGCGCATTTGTGTCGTGCCTTTGTGTTTATTTTTATTTTTTGGTTGGCCTGTTTTCTGAATGTTGCCGGATCATTGTTGGTGGAGGCGAAGTCATCCAGCTGATGGCCTATCTCAGGCAAATTCGAGGGTGGTGGTTGTTCTACAGACCAATGTACGTGACATTGAGTGGTCCAGGCAAGAGTTAAGCAGCATTTTGCTACGCTTGCACTGAACCCAGTTTTTGAGCGCCTTGAAATCACTGTCATGTACCAAATGACCTTCTCAGTCATTGGCTCTCCATTTCCTTTTGGCACTGGCACCTGTGCAGCACATAGTATCCGCTTCATTGCACCTTGGCACTATTGATCAAGGTTGAAAGTGGATTTGGAAGAATGCCTGATGCGAGAGTTAAAGGCGACTCTGTTCGATCACCCCTTTCAACTCTCCACGTGTTTCACTATGTTGCACTTTCGGGCGAACGTGTAGAAACATGTCGACTCAACACATACAATAGATCCAAGAATTCCTTAAAGCTTTATTTCTTTTGGATCTGACGTGTCCTCACCTACCTAGACACTCTACTGCTCGCTGCTGACAGCCTGGCATGCAGAGGCTGGACAGGTGTGGACATTTGCAGACAAGATTTGCGAGCTTCGTTTTTAGAGCTTGCAGCAACAATAGTGCAAATTTGGCGTAGCAAACGTGCAAACTTTTGCCTCGGAGAATGGAAGGACATTGCGGGTAACTGAGGTTGAAGCTCTAAATGCACTTGCTGCTCACATCAGGCATTGATATGTTTGAAGCAGCATTTGCCTTTTGTTGTGGTTGTGAAGCACAATCCTTCTTGAGCTAGCTCATGACAAGTGCATTCCTTGTATGAATCCAACTCACTAACAGTCCCACTGCTGGCATGCTGGCCATTGCAATTGCGTTCACAGGAAGCTTTGTGAAGCCTAAGGGTGAACAAAGTTTCAATCAGCTCTAGCTACAAAGCTACTAGTGTTTCCCATTACTTCGCCCTGCCTTTGTACAGAGGGCGCTGAAAACACAACGGGAGGCTGCTCAATGGCTAGAATGCAAGAGTGGATTGGTCGATTGGTTGTTGCAGTCAGCACAATGTCCTGATCCAACGAATGTCCGAAGCTGCTTTTGCTCGAGTGTTGGCAATCGTGGAGTACGCAGACTGCTTCCAGCAATGCAGTCTCTATCAGGTTGGACTTCTTGTTTTTCAGTCTTGAACGAACGGTGCACACGCACGCATCAGTGCTCCAAATTTCCGGTGACAGGGCAAAGCTGGAACATGAACATCTCGATTTTCCGAAAACACTTGCGTGTGCTTTGCTTGTGCCAACAGGGCGGGGCCTTCCCCTGTCAGAAGCCTCTTGGCATCAAGACAATAAGTGCTTCGGAGTTTCTGGCCAGACAGCTGAAAGCTGTAGGACCATAGGGGGGTGCTTGCTTTTCAAACACTCAGCTTTGGATCACCATCTTAAACGGGTTCTTTCTGCCAACTCTTTGACAGTCTCCTCTCTTCATGTTTAGTTGAGAAGTCAAGTGCTCATGAATATGTAGTTGTGGTCACTGCAGATGGATTCGCGATGACAGATGACACCATGTCCTTTTGCTTATGATAACTTTGGTGACTGATTTGGGTGGTCTCTCAAGATTGTTCAGGTTCCCAGCCTCTTGTCAACTTTCCAATCGATTTCTAGTTGCTGGATTCCGGCGTCCTTGAGTGCTTCAGGAAACCTACTATCGTCCTGGAACTGCGTGCGTGGAAACTGTCAGCATACCCGGGTGAACGTTCTACCTGCCCCCAGGCACACCCAGTCCACCTCTAGATACAAGCGCACACTTATAGCAATGCGTGCTGATTCGGCAACGGATTGCCACACGCCAGCCTGGGCACCCAAATCCTGAAAGAGTCGAGCCTGGAGGTCCCTAAACGGAGGTGAGGCCCAAAGCTTCAAGAACCAAAACGATGATCACGGATCGACCAGGATGACGGCGGGCGCTCAAGCCTGCAGAAAGCATTAGCACTTTAGATCACCTGATAAGCCTGGAAACAGCCTCAGCAAGGGAAGACCAGTGAAGTCAATGTGTTCAAAGCAGGTACACGGAGGTGATCAATCCGATGGGCCTGTGCCCCCTGGTTAAAATCAAAAGAAGGAAACAATCCAACAGGATCCCTGTCACTCCAAGGGTTACACACACACGCCTCCCCGGGGGGAGGCAAAAACTAAGTGACGAACAAGTGTGCATTGTGCGCGCAGCATGTACAAGAGGATGGATGAAGACGTGAAAGAGAGGACAAAAGTGTGTGTGGTTGCAATGAAGAGGGAACCAGATGCACAGGGACAAAAGGTGAGCCAAACCTCATTATCAGAACCTGGGCGACCTGAAACCTAAGTGTGCAGTAGATGTGCGCGTACAAGCTAAGGCCCGGACCGAGGTGCGCGCAAGAAAAAACAGGAGTGAAATGACAGGACATGAAGCAAGGAAAGACATGAAACAAAAGGAGGAAAGAAAGTGTGTGAAAAGGGTGAAAAAGATGAAAAAGGAAACCAATGAAGGGGCCGGGAACCAATGAAGCCAGAGCTCATTGCAACGACCTAGAAAGACCTGCCTCGTTTGAACGTGCGTTCTGTGTGCACCTAAGGTTGCAACAGGCTCCAATGAGCCTTGAACGAACGTCGGTCGCTGCGATCACGTGGTGGCGTTTCCGAAGGCTCCCTACTCCTGGCCGCTCTGGTCACCTCATGGCGTGTCCGAAGACTGCCTACTTGGAATTCAATAGTTCATCAAGTCTTGACAAATAACTTTGGCATAAGCCACCTACGCTCACTGCGAGCTGCTCTGTATCCAAGGCATGGATAGGTTCGACAAACCCCCGTTCAACGGGTCCACAGGGGCCACTCGTCGGGGTAACCCCGGGCTGACACGAAGGTCAGACACACTTATAGAAATGCGTACTGATTCGGAAACGGATTGCCGCACGCCAACCTGGGTACCCAAATCCTGAAAGAGCCAGCCAAGCAAAACCCAAGGAGCCTGGACCAAAGCTTCAAGAACTAAAACGACGATCGCGGATCGACCACAATAACGGCGGGCGCTCAAGTCTGCAGAAAGCATTAGCGCTTTACATCGCCTGATAAGCCTGGAAACTGGGAACAGCCTAAGCAAGGGAAGACCAATAAGTCAATGTGTTCAAAGCAGGTGCGCGAAGGTGATCAATCTCCGCTTCCCCCATCGTGGAACAGCTTCGTTGGCACCGTTATCCACGATGGGCCTGTGCCCCCTGCTTAAAATCAAGAGAAAGAAACAATCCAACAGAATCCCTGTGACTCCAAGGGTTACACACACACATGCAGCGTCGTGCAGCCATGTCCCTCTTGAATCTTCCTGACAGTTCAGACACGCTCTGGCACGCCTTCACATAATTGTATATGCTCTATCAGGTGATTTGATTCCGTGTGATACGCATTCTGCCACTGACTCTTTGGAGTAGGACTGTGAGGGAACCTGTCTCCAACTCTTTCCTAGGCTACCTTGCCGCTTGCTCAGAGCAGGGATGAAGATGGCTTTTGTACCAGCATCGATGTTTGGAAGTCTCCCCCCTTGGATTTGAAACGGATTTTTGAACCATATGCCGAGGACAGTTTTGTTGCCAAAGAGAAGGAGGCGCGCCGCCTATGAGAAAAAACTGTATGTGAAGACGCGTGTTGCCACTAGACCTTTAAAATTAGGTGATTGAAGGGCGCGACTGTGACTTCGACCAGTTGGGTCGTGTTGTCTCAGAAAGATTTAATTGTAACGCGCCGGGATGCAGGAAGAAGATGAGCCAGATGAGGAGAGGTCTGTTGCCGAAGACATGTCTGGGTGCCCGATTCCATATCTTTTTGTTTGTGCGCAGTATGGCGTGCTTGCCAAGCAATTCGGAATATGTATTTTTCTGCGTCGACTGCAAGCCAGTTCTTCCAGCGGCCCTGTGCCCAAATAATTGTACGAGTGCAGTCAGACCCTTTGAGTCAAAATTTCTGAACGCAGTAGCTGCCACCTGTAAGGTCCTGGCTTCCTCGACTGTGCCAGACTGAGACTGTGTCAACCTGTGGAAGATACCCCAAAGCGATCCAAAGCGTGTATCGCATATATCATGCGCATTCAATCACATTGCGTGTGATCCTGTCCAGCTTCAGGTCGTGGCAGTATAAGCATCCAATTCGCCGTTATGACCATTACTGCCTCGTGGATTCAACAGAAGAAACGTTGTGTTCTGTAGTCTTGAAGTATCAAGTTTGTCCCGGCAAGTGGGTGAAAACATCATTGGCACCAACCTCAGTCTCCTTCTGATCGTGTCAAAACTGTTCCTTTTTGCAGGGCTGGACGTGCGGTCCTTCGGGGCCCTTCAGAAGAAAATTTGGTTCTTTTCAGGCTTGAGGTTTTGAAAGCACGTCGATCCTGAATCGCCCAGGTTTGATCGCCATAGCGCTGTTTTGGGCCTAGTCTGACTGGAAGAGAGACATGAATGAGCGCCTACCAAAACCTGTCCTTGTTCCAACGCACTATCCGAAAAAACAGTGGAGTGATGTGTCTTTTTTACAAGGATATATGCTTTGCGTTCCCTTGGATGTTACCTTGCTGTCTTTGTTGCCTCAAAGCAGCAGGGTTCTGGCGGAATTTTCAGCATGGCAAACGATTCGACGATATACAAAATGACACCATTCTGATCTTTTTTTGAGTGTAGGGACTGGAAACCGGACCCACTTTTTCTGACATTTTTGTACTCCATGGTGTGGGGGGGGGGGTGTGAGGGTCAAATTCCTCTCAGTGGAGCGTGTGACGCACAGTATCCCTGGATTCAAATCAAAGGCCAACAGGGTTCACAAGAGCGAGTGAGCGAAGGCGATCGAGCGGCTGTTTTCACACGCGCGTACCTTGAAAATGTTATGGCCTGTCAATGCATTGCGTAAGAGCATATCGCACGATAACCAAGTTGAAGCAATAGTGTCAACGGGGGCCCAAAAACAGAAAACATGGGGGGTGTTGTAATTTCGTTCTTGTTCTCGCATACGTCTCATGAGCGTGAAGGCTCAAGAAGTAGCCACGGTGTGCGCTTTAGTTTCGTTGTTTCGCTTGTCGGGTGTTCCTTGCCCTCCTCTTTTTTGTTGTTGTGCGTTTTCTTCCTTTGTGGTGTGATTGTTCTGACCCTTTAGTTTCTTTTGTTCACGAAACAGTTTTGGGTTCAGATCGTGGATGGGTAGACTGGGAGCAGGTGTTAGAAACACGTCTTTCGTTGTTCACACTGTGGTGCAATGTGTGGTTGAGGTTTTCTTTTTCGAAAAACAAGAACTAACTCCTTTTCTGTTGGTGACTGTTGGTGTTAAGTTGGCGTTTGTTGCGTAGTTGTAGCAGATGGGCACGCCGCTGAATTTGCTTGACAATGGCGCCGATGAAAAAGACTTGCGCTCGGAGCCCGACGCGGGACAGCTAGTTGCACAAACAACAGGCAACTTGAGGTGTCGCGAAAAAACATGTTTTTGCAAAACACATGACAAAGCACTGCGTTTACCAATGAATTTGACATCAGAGCCTGCAAAATAGGGTACGGTTTCCAGTCCGTACGAATATTTGGGCATTGTTTCGGCCCACAAGGCCAGAGGTCCACATGTGTTCCACACATGGGCCTCATAAGGAAAGGAAACCATAGAACGCCTTGTGTCACATGTGGGACTCTGACAACCAGTAAAAAGAAGTGGCCATTGTGGTTGCATGGCTGCAGGCCTTCATGTTGGGAGTGCTGATTCCCCAAATCAACGCAGACCTGCAAAAACGATAGGGTCGGCAACAAGAATCGACCCCCCTTGCAATATCCTTTACCACATGCAAGAGGCCTAGATCGCCGCTCGCATGAGTTCAACTCAAAACAAGCCTGCCGCAGAACAGACGCCAGGAGGGCCCCATTGCTCTGAGGCTCGGCGTTATCATGGACCTCTGGCTTGCCATTTTTGCTGGCCGAGAAGGTCGCTCTTGGCGCTTTGCTTGTGCTTTCTGCCTGTGCTTTGCAACCTACCTAGCGAAGGCCTCCAACCTACTAGGGATGGGCCTACTAGCGATGGCCTCCAATCTGCGAAGCGCTATTTGTTGCAGGGATCAATGGACGCAGAGATAGCCATTGCGTCGCGCCCACAGAGAGACAGCGATAGAGAGTGCTTCATGATATGGAGAATTCTCAATCTGTCAGGTTGCATTTGGGTTATTCCGTGGGCCTTCTGGCGTTTGCTGGGCAGTCTCCTCAGCGACGCACCATGGTGACGCAAGCTTTTCACGTGCTGATTCAGACTCAGGCCAACAATGAAAATTCATTTTGGCTTGGTCTCCAGGCGCTATCCAAACTGGTTGGTTTTCCACTTCAGAGCGCCGCCCAGTTTTGTAATTTCTTGATGGGACGCAGGAACGAGTTGGCGCAAGAGTGGAAGAGCAACCAGCACTACGTTGCATGCACCTCATGTGAAATCAAGGTTCGTGCGTTTGGCTGCCAAATTTGAACTGCGAGGCGAACAACACCAGTATGGGCGACAATATTTATGTCAAGGAGCTGGAGGATGACAAGCGTCCCGTTTGTGCATGTCGTAGAGCATTGTTGCGAGCGCTGAAAAGTGAGAGCGACTCCACGCCTTGGTTCAATGAAATTTTTACCGCGGAGAGTTTGTCTATGACAAGAACAGCCGCAGCGTCCAGTCGGGATCAGAAAACCCACTGCAGCGGTGGCGCGGTGGAGACGCATGGTTTGTGAGACACATTGGCGTGATTTGGCGTGCAGGAATCCCTTTGACCAGGGCTTTGTCAGGAACTGCTTGAACTTCTGGTGCAAGCCCCGCTGGCCGGCTGTGCCTCGTCAAGCTTCGTGTTGTGACGGTTCCTATTTCATTTGACGCCCTCAGTTGTATCATTTGATCGAGGACTCAAAGGGAGCCTTCTGAGCTTCTTGCCGAACTCCAGTTTCACCGCTGAGACCTAAAGAGGTCAGCGCGTGTCAATGACATTCTTCATTGTGTATACCATCAAGTCGATAAAGGCGTTGTTGCTTTGTGTTGCGTTTTGTGCTTGTGAGCCGGTTGCGCGCGCAGGATTTGTCAATCATGTAGCTGCCTGTTCTTCAAATCATCCAATCAAGGCAGACACATATACGCAGAGAGCCACAAGAGCCGTCTTGCACACAGAGCCTGTTACATTGCAAGCTAATTGATTGCCCTAAAAGAGAAACACTCAGCCTGAAGGTGCCTGAATGGGAAAGACATTGCTTAAATGCCTTAGTTCGGCTTATTTCCGAACTCTTTGCAGTTGCAGAGCACTGCCGCCTGCGCATAGATTTTGGTCCTGCATCTTCCTGATGGGGCCAGGAGTGGAATGGCAGACGAATGGAACAATGAGCGGCGTTATTCACGTCGCTTCTTTTTCCATCGGTCCACATTGTGTTGTGTGCGCCTCATACATGCCAAAGTTGAACTACGAGGACAACGCCCGAGTTGCGGGCAACATTTATGATGACATACAGTAGACGTTGTCGCCAACACCATCGTTGTTCACCTCATCCAAAATTTATGTTGAGGAGCTAGACGATGAGGTGGTTGCAGCTGCTCGATGACGAGCGTCCCTTGTGGGACATGTCATTTGGCATCTTTGCCAGCGCTGGTCCAAGTTTGGGTGAGCCCACGTGTGCGGTTCAATGAAGGTTTGTGACCGGGGCGAGATCGTTTATATGGCTGGGTCGGCGTCAGAAAAGCCACTGCAGTGGTTGCGCGCTGAACACGCTTGGTTTGTCAGACATATTGGCGCAATTTGCACCGAAGCCGTGATCCAAGCAGTTTCTTCCGAAGCCCGGCCATAGAGGGATTCCTGTGCGCCATGTATATATATACACATATTGGATGATCTGGAGGATGACGAGCATCCCGTCTGCACATGTCCTACAGCATTTTTGCGAGCGCCGATAAGTGAGAGCAATTGGAGTGAGTTGATGCGTGAGGTTCAGTGAGATTTTTGACAGGGGGCAATTCGCCTATACGACAAGAGTCGTATGCAAACTCGCCTTTGAACATGTTGAGCAGGCGCACCGACCAGTCGGGATAAGGAAAGCCATTGCTGTCGGTGGCCGGCTGTGCCTCGTCAAGCTTCGCGTGGTGACGATTCCTATTTCCTTTGACGGTCTCAGCTCAGCTTTATCCTTTGACCGAGGATTCAAAGGGAGACTTCTGAGCTTCCTGCTGGCGAACTCAGTGAGCTCGCCAGCAGGAAGCTCAGGCGGATTCAAACCCTAGTTTCACCGCAGTGAAGACGTGCCACCAAGTCGACAAACGCGTTGTTACTTTGTGGTGTTTTTTGTTTATGCGCCCGTCAGTCATGCAGCGGCCTGGTTCCTCTAATCAATTGCACGCTCACAGACAGAGCCACAAAAGATGCCTTGCGCATATACCTGTCAGTTTCTTCTTGGCAACATGTTTTACGTAACTTGTTCAACTTGTTCGAGCAAGGTAACACAGAAACACGGTAACGCTCACGTCAAATTGCCCGAGCAACGCGCCAACTTAGAACGGGCAAGACACTGCTAGATGCCAAACTTGAATGCCTGTGTTGCCCTTGCAAGCGCGATCGAGAGTTTTAAGGTGCCACACGCAGCGAGTGCAGCAGTCATGTGGTACATATCTTGGAAGCCTGTCAAAAAAACGAAGTTGCAGGCTGGCATCGTTAAGACATTCGCAGTTTCTCTGGGCCGCGGCAAGAAGGTCTTTTTCAGGCAGTTCACGTTTGTTGAGTGACAACGAAGGTTCATATGTTTGTGCGGCAGGGTTGTTTGTTTCTTTTGCAGGTGCTGGCCCAGGATTGCATTTATGGGCGGAAAATGCCCGTCGCGAGGTGTTTGCAAGGCCTCCAAGCTGCGGTCACAGTTGCTCATGGCCTGGCTGCTTCGCTCCAGGCTTCATGGGCTGCGGAAAAGCAAAGCAACGCCTCAGGAGGCGCAAAAAGGTTTCCTTTTTTAACGCTTCTCACTCCGGCGTCAAGTCCAGCATCAATGTCTAGGAAAAAGAAGAGAAACACTTTGAAGGGGCTTTATGAAAGGGGCTGCCCTTACCTGTATTTTTTCTCGGGCTCTAGCTGCTCTGTAATTCATTTCGTCTTAATCCTTTTACTCGTGGATGCGTGGGCGCGCAGGTGCTCTTCATCGTCTCAGAGTTCTGCTGGCTCGTTTGTGGTGCGCAGGTGCTCTCGTTTATCCGGCTTCTTGACAGAAGCAGGTGCCAGCGAAGGCAGCTGCTAAAAGATCCACGGGATTGGGTAGTCTGGGCCTATGGCGAAGCAGCGCCTTGTGGCCGAGTGTTTGTTGTATGGAACCTGACTGGAAACCTGCAACTGGCATGAGGTCGCTATGAGTTCCTTAGGCCACGTTGGCCTATGGACAGATACTTTGGCGCTGTTCGAGGCTTGCTTTTACAAAAGCAAACCAAAAAGAGAGTTGATTGTGCTGGGCAGGCAATGCACTTAGAGACCGCAGTTGCGGTGCATGCCTTCAATGCGACCTTGTCTGCTGTGCAGTCATCCGGACGAACTTACCGTGTCCATGAATATCAAAGATTGGACTGATTGGATGGGTTGTCACGGATTTTTCAATATTGAAACGATTGTCAGCTGTGCCAGTTCTTGGACAAAGAACAACTTGCAAAACCATATATCAGCAACTTCGGGGCTCCCCGGCGCCGTCTGCCGAGAAATACTCTTCAAGAGTCCAGACTTTCGGAAACTACTTGAGTCAGGTGTGTGATGGTGTGTGCAACCACCTAACTATATGACAGTGTCGAGTCTAGGGCAGGCTTGGGCCACGGCTATCATCGCAACATTCATTTGTACATTCTGGCTCAAGAAGGACAGAGGAGTTTTTGCCTGAGGATTGGTTCAGTGAGTTGTGTGGGATCACACAAGCATATGGCAATTGTTCCCGGTGTCCATGTTGCATTTCAGACTGAGGTGCAGATTAGGACCTTTGCAGAGCATGAGTATGGCGCAGGGAGCTGTGCCCCGTCGCGTGGCTAGTGCGTCAGTTGAAGCTGGACTCCCAGAAGAAGCTTTCCAAGCCCGGGGGCAAGCCCTTGCTGTGGAGAGTGGTGTGGTGGAGTTCTTGGATGCATTATATATTCATCCAGCGGAGCGCAGTGCGGAGAATGACAGCCTTCTTCTACGGGCGTTGCCGTGAAGGCAAGCTTTTTCAAACGCAAGAGCCCGACGAGTGTGCTTGACGTGCAAGGAACAGTCTTGGGGGCTAGCAGATGTGACCAGATCTTGCCAGCGTGCGTTCGATGGAGCGAGCTATCAACGGTCATGCCCCTAATTTAACGCCAAGAATCAAGAAGATCACCAAGTGGCACCTTGCTCAGTGCTAGCCTTCGCGCCCCTGATGAATGGACGCGGTTCCGGTTTGATGTGGAGATTGTTTGTTGCCTATTCAAAGCGGACTAGCCTTTGCCATCACAATGTTTGTTGTTGGTGGGCTACGCGGGTGGTGCGTCGCAGTGTTTTCATCACGGATGGGGGGCGCAGGCTTCCCGTTAGCTTGGTTGGTTGAGGCCCTCGGCCGGCGCCTTTGCGGAGTCTTAGTCTCTTTGATGACGCTTGGGTTACAGATTAGAGTTCGAGCGCTGAGTGGCCTATGTTCCTTTGTCATTTGTGAGGTACTGTATGTGAGGCCTGTTCGCCACCTATCAGCGGCAGCCTGTGGCGGCGACTCAGTCGCATGCGTCCGGGCTATTCCAAGGTTTGGGCCCGCGAATGGCTTCAAAACAAGATCTATATACCTCATCAACCGGACCAGCGACCGGCTCACGCCAGGCCTAGCCAAGATTTATGGGCCGGCCAACTTCTTGGAGAACGGTTTGGTTGTGGAGGCCTACACCCATTCATGCCACATCATCAGAGCGAGGCCTCTCCTGCGCTCCAGCGTCTTGGAAGCTGTGCTTGCCCCCCAGCCCGACAAGTTGAAACTTTTCCTGGCAGCCAAGAAGGCTTTGTTGCAGCCTTGGACGCGGCTTTTGAGCTCCCAGCAGTGGTGGCGGACTTCTTCTGATTATTTCCATGCCAGGTGGCCAGGAACGGCTGGCTTGTGTGGTGCACTTGCCACCTATACACGCTACACGATGTGGTTGGAGTTGCTGCTCTCGTTTTGTATATTTTGCGTGGGTTGTGGCAACGGTAGTACTTGTTATCTTTGCTTTTTGGTTGGTTGGTTGGTTGGTTTTCCTGCATTGGGGACCAACCAAGTTGTGCCTCGGTGTCAGATCATTGCAAAGGTTGGTTGGTTGGTTGGTTGGTTGGTTGGTTGTGGAACTAACCTTCCTGTTGACAATATCATCGCAAAAAATGTCGCTGTTGACATCAAACTGTTTGTTTTGATTAGTTTTACGTTTGCTGCGGCTCTGTTTGGTTGAGCCCCAACGTGCTGCAGTCTTGCGTGGGCGAAGAAAGTCCAAAATGATAACGTGGTCAAGTGAGTTGAATGTTGTTTATCTCTTTTCACCCAGTTTGTTAATTGGAACCCGATTCATTGCCTTGTGAAAAACCACTCCGTGTAGTTGCAGGTAGCGCGGAGAGTGAAACCGTTGCCAGGAGAGCGCAGCAGTGGGAAGCCGCAGTGGCCTTGTTCGCTGACATCGAGCGCAACTTGATGTAGCAAACAGAGCATGTCATACATTGGGTTTGTTGCAAAGGAATCAGAAGCCTAGGCTACTCATTGACGCCAGATACAGTGGGCGCGCTTGGATTGTCGGCGGTTTCGGTTTGCGTCCTTGAAAAATGTGTAGCCAAGTGTGCAAGAGTATTGCGGCGACTGGCAATACGAAATACTTGAAGGTGACGTGCAACGCTTTACTCACTGCGTGTGACAAAGGAGGGCAATGGCAGAGCTTTGGTCTGAGGACAACAACTGCACAGAATTATTCAACAGTCCCACGCGTCCCACACCGTTCGCAACAATTGTGCACAGTTCCCTTGAGGTGCCCTGAGTCTCTTGGAAAGGATCGGTCCTACATATCACCTCCAGCCCAATGTTGTCAGCTACAGCCTGGATCTGAGCCCAGAATCAGCAATAAAAACTTTCTTTCGAAAGGGGGGTTCCATTTCGGCTGGTGTGTGATTGTTGCTTTTAGCCACAAAGACTCCAGATGGACCCCAAGGTGTGTTGCTTATTTAGGCAACGACAAGCCATGTTGCGCAATCTTGGGATCTATAGCGGGCCTTGTCTTCAGCAATTTCGGACCTGTTTTTACCAACTTGCAGAATGTCAGCCGATGGGCGAAACATGCACAACCACGCAGTATTTTACTTAACAAATGCACCTCCCGAAACCTACCTATCTTCACCATAATTTGGTAGATTGCCTGTTGCGGAAAGAAAAGACAATGAATTGGATATCTAAACAGGCGCCTCACAAGCCCATCTTGGGACACATCTTGGCAAGATGGGTCCATCTTGGAGTCTTTGTGGGTCTACTTGCTGCCTAACAAACGCTTATCTTGAGCCAAGTTGAGCCTATGTGGCCCAGGTTGAGCCACATTTGGCCCTGTTAAGACGCTCGTGTTAGTCACTTCGTTGGATTTTCCAGCTTTTTTTTTTCAAAAAAGGCCAAAAGCGGAGGATTCTAGAGCAAAAAAGCACACGCGCGCACACACTCATGGATATGCGTACTGACTTGACAGCGGCGCCACACGCCGGCCTAGGGTTCCATTTCCTAAGAGTATCAGTAGGGAACCAGCGAAACCTGAGGGTCTTCAAACGGAGAGGTGGCCAAAGGGAAAAGGAAAGAGCGGCGATCGCGATTCGAACAGGTTGACGGCGTGTCGTTCGCATCAAAGTTTCGAGGTTCTTGGCTTAGCCTCTCGCCATTGGAAGATGGAAAATTGCAGGTACGTCCAGCTGGCCAAGCTGGATATCCCATTTCACTGGTAGCTTCGTTGGACACAGTCCCAGTGAAATGCTGTGTCTCTCAAAGGAACCTTGGTTACTCCCCTGCTTTGGAAATAATAAAAGGAAAGCAAACAAATCCAAAAGGATCCCTCTGACTCCAAGGGTGACACACACACGCCTCCCCGAAGGGAGGCGGGATTTTAAGCTCCGCACTGAAGTAAGGTGAGACTAGGTGAACTGACGGATCTCTCGGTAAGTCTGGTAGGCTGTCAACTGAAAAAACTAAGGCTCCAACAGGTTCCAATGAACCTAGAAACCGGCTTTGACCGCTGTGGTCACCTTGTGCCTTGCCGAAATGGCTGGCTGCTTTGACCACTGCGGTCACGTAAAGGCATGAGCCAACTTGGAATTCCAAAAACGGGACAAAAATCATCGGACGTACGGCCGCGGCCACCTGCTGTCCGCTGCGGACATCTGCGTTCCCAAAGCCGGGGGAACATGGACGTACGCCCGTTCAACGGGTCCACGGGAGGCACTCTGCGGGCTCATCCCGGGTTGGCACGAAGCCAAACACACTCATGGATATGCGTACTGACTTGACAGCGGTGCCACACGCCGGCCTAGGGTTCCATTTCCTAAGAGTATCAGTAGGGAACCAGCGAAACCTGAGGGTCTTCGAACGGAGAGGTGGCCAAAGGGAAAAGGAAAGAGCGGCGATCGCGATTCGAACAGGTTGACGGCGTGTCGTTCGCATCAAAGTTTCGAGGTTCTTGGCTTAGCCTCTCGCCATTGGAAGATGGAAAATTGCAGGTACGTCCAGCTGGCCAAGCTGGATATCCCATTTCACTGGTAGCTTCGTTGGACACAGTCCCAGTGAAATGCTGTGTCTCTCAAAGGAACCTTGGTTACTCCCCTGCTTTGGAAATAATAAAAGGAAAGCAAACAAATCCAAAAGGATCCCTCTGACTCCAAGGGTGACACACACACACACCCAAGCAAAACGCCTCAGCACCTTCGGCGCGGGCGGCTTTTGTGTTTGCTCAAGAATTCGATATTGAAATGTCTTAGGGCCTATATACACAATGCCTGGCTCAACTCCCGGCCGCCATTACCTGTCATAGGATAGATTTCGATTCGTCCAAAAGTCGGGCCCCACTTTTTCATCCGGTTATCAGCCCTTTTCAAGTTTCAAGATTAAAAGCCCCCCCACACCCCCAATACTCACTTCGTTCGCCCATCGACAACTCCGGCCTAGCCTATCGGGCGGCTTTCGTAAAAAGGCTAGAAAACTTATCAGGGGACATGGCAAAAGTTATTCATGGTTGTTCTATTATTACTATCATTTGGACTACAGTTTGTTTCGTGTATGTTTCGGAACTTCATTCTACCTTCTTCGTTTTCCTGGTGATGGTGTTCTCACTGTTTTATCGCCCAGATTGCGAGCTTTATAAGGTGTTATATCAGACTTGAAAACGTGATAAACTCACGATGTGATTCTGCGCCTACTTCACTCATTCTGCAATATGTGAGTGATTCTGTACCTGAGGCTCTTCATCACTGAATATGCAAGGTAGACTTGTTTTGCGGGTGGTCTTTTCTATGCTGTTTGATTTCCCACAGCACTTTACGGCATGTGGGAGCATAGTGGATCACGCCAATTGACTATATTTAAATAAGTCAAATCCAGTTTGCAACCACTGGCTAACGGGGCAACAAGAATTGAGACGTGCAAAATTTGGACTCTAGCTCCTGATAGGACCTCCAAGCGAGACTCCGCGTTTTTTTAAAGGTTCGGTTTTTCCGTGGCTAATTTAGAGTAGAAGTAATTGCAAATTCAACTCATTCTATGACAACAAGTCCTTATTCACAAAAGGGATGGGAACTATATATAGAGAGCCTATCAGATCGACCCTGAATGCGAGACTTTGCGCCTCTCTGCCTTCTATTTCCCTCGACCCTAACAGCAGAGTGTAATGTCGACTTCACGCCGTAACAACAGTAATCTTTGCTCGGCTCGATGTTTTACAATCATCTGATCTTGGCAGTAAACTTTCATCGGTCCACTCTTAAGTGAGCGCCGAGTTTATGAGTCCAGGTACAAGACAGGAGAAACAAACAGCAGGCAAGCGCCCCTCGTTACTTAGGGGTGCCCGTTTTCAGCGTAAGAAAAGGGCGCCCCCCCTCGACCTGTGAATCGCCCGCTAACTTCAACCCTGCCCCCGGACTGTTAATGTCCTGCTCAATGCAACCTTTTCTCGTAACATGGGCTTCACTTCTATCCTATAACCGCTAACAGTGAATTGGCCTTGACCAAGACCGTGTATATTCAACAAAGAGAGCAGGACGCTGTGGGGGTGCACTTTTTAATATGCGTTTGTAGTTTATGTTTGCTGGTTTTGCTCTTTTTGCTGATGACATGACATGGATGGGATTAAGAAAGTTGCAGTTTTGAAAGGTTTTGCATTCAGGGTCATCTTCTGAGTTCATGTGATGGTTGCCGGCTGGAGAAACGTCAGCCCACCAGATTGCCATCAGCCACTCCAAGAACTTATGACTTCAATGTGTGTGTGGGCATCGATTTGCTATTTGTGCATGGCAAGACGCTTCGGAACGCAGAAAAACGATCGCTTTGGAACACGGGAATGTGATCGCTTCGGAACGCGTCTTCAGAGTCGCACTGTCTGGTTGCTAACTGCAACCCACCACACCCCACACCCCGCCCCATCCTTTATCTTTTAACCTTTTCTTGAGTATAGAAAAAACAGGTGTGGTATATGAATACGTTTTTCTATATGCCCTTGTCCCCCGCCCACCCCACCCCATCCCCCCCACCCCACCCCATCCTTCATCTTTAAACCCTCCCCGTCCGTGTGTGTGTGTGTCCACCCCTGGACAAAGGGTACCTTCCACCGTTTCACCC